CCCAGAATTCCTCAGCCAGCTTTGCTGGCTGAGGAATTCTGGGAGTTGAAGTCCACAAGTCTTAAAGTTGCCAAGGTTGGACACCCCTGATCTACGGCATCCGTGGAGATATGGTTGCAGCTGGTCTTGTCAGTCCTTGTTCCCAGATGTGTTAACAAGAATTAACCTCAGAAGGAGCGATGGAGTGTTCTTGAAAGCTTTTGTGGCCTCCCTGAAGTGTGGCCTGACCAGTGGTTCCATTGGCACCATTTCCTTCAGGAGCTCATGGGAGTGAATGACCCGCGTCTGCCTCTTGCCTTTGTCTTCGGGCTGGATGCAGAAGCCCCTGCTGTCTCCTTCGGGGGCCCAGCTGCTGGCATCCTATGCCAGGGCTTCTGCTTGCTTTCTCTTGAAAGCCCACCCCTTCTAGGGCAGCCCCTTCTGGGTCTACTGGCTTCTAATGGTCCCGGTGGTCTGGTAGGCCGTGCTTTGCTTCCTCTGACACCTGGCGACACGCTGCCTTCTTTCATGGGCTAAGCCTTCCTTTTCTGTGGTTACTTCTAAGGTCGTCTAACGGGGTGGTTACTGGCTACGCCAAGATTTTTCAAGCATCCCTGGAGCTCGTAATAAATATATAACAGAATAAAGACTTGGAAGGGGCCCTGGAGGTCTTCTAGTCCAGCCCCCCCCCCCCCCCGCCCCCCCCGGATTCCCCCCCCCCCCCCCCCCCCCCCCCCCCCCCCGCTCAGGCACGAGACCCTATTCCAATTCAGTCCAGGCTCTTCTTAAAAACCTCCAGGGATGGAACACCGACACTGCCTGAAGGCAACTTCTCTTCCACTGGTTACGCTAGATGTACCTGAGATCAGGTCTGCGGAAGTCTGTTCCTCTTCACTTTTGCTTTTTTAGTCATAACTATTGGAAGGTTTTTACTTCTTGTTTCCATCGTAAACAATCAGCTCAGCCAAAGGAAAATATGTTAGGGGTTCCCCTCAACTCCTGCTTCCTCCCTCCATTTTCTCCCTCCATAGAAACTGGCTACCTTAAATTCCTCCTGCAAGCTTTTGCTGACTCATTAGGTAGCAGCACTGACAGGTCCTCCCACTCTCTGGACATATTAGCTTTCCCTTCCGTTGACATTAGGCCTCTGAGCGCACAGCTTCTTTGGCGATTACTCTCTTTCTCCTTCTGAGGCTTCCAGTATCTCTGCCACCCTTCCACCTTCTTTCTCCACCCTCTTCTGAGGCGTCATCCCTGCTCGTCTAGAGTGTCATCCCCAGCCTGTTCCCTTATCCCTCTTCCTCTCAGCCAGATGGAAAGTCAACCCAGACGCATCCTTGAAGGGCTTGAACCACCTTTGCCGGAAAAGAACTTGGTGGATCTTGGGGGGTCGTGGCGTCCTTTCCTTGCATTGCTGCTTTCCTTGCCCAGCGCACGGACTCTTTGGCCCCCAGCCTCACCTCGGAATCCTTGCCACTCAGCAAGGGGGGGGGTCTCTCGGGTCCCAGAGAAAGTGCCCCCGTCCCACACCAAGGTCTCTTCCCGAATCCCCTTCCTTGGGTTGAGCGTGGGGGGGTCTTCCCAGGGGGGCAGAGGCCTTTGGTTACAAGGTCGGTTGGGGATCCGTATTTGTGATTCTAGCAAGTGGCAGCCGGGCCTTGGTGGCCGCTGGCGAGGGAAGACTTTGGCCTCCGAGGAAGTCAAGTTGGGCAGGCCTGCCAGGAGACCCTTTCTGAGTCGTCTCTCCTCTCCCAGGTCATCCTTCACTCCATGCATCGCTATAAGCCGCGTTTCCACGTCATGCCGGCCGACGGCCTCTTCAGCACCCGCTGCGGCGTCTTCCACTCCTTCAGCTTCCCAGAGACGGTCTTCACCTCCGTGACCGCCTATCAGAATGAAAAGGTGGGGCGTTGTCGGTGTCTACAGGAGGCTGCCCAGGACAACCAGTCCAGGCCTTGGGAGGGTCAGAAGGCCAGCCCCCCCCCCCCCCCCGAGGACGGAAGGCCTTGCTTTGCAACTTGTAGCCAAGGATTCTAGCTCCGGGGAGCAGAGCAGTGGCCGACGGGGACAGGCTGCCACGCAAAGAACAGGAAGCCTTTTGCAGGCACCTGGTTTTGTAACATTTACTGGCCAATCACCAGACAGGATGATAACGTAGATGCAAATACAGCATGTGGTGCAGGTGCTGAGTGCCTCTCTTTCTCCCAAGATCACAAAGCTGAAAATCTACAACAATCCGTTTGCTAAAGGCTTCCGAGAACACAGGAAGAATGTCCGTCACCGGTAAGTCGACTTGCTTTTCGGCAGCCATCCTAGTCAGTCGACTGCAGTGGTGCTTTGCCCAGAAACGCTGGACGTGGGGCCCTGCTTAACAGAGGCAGCACTGGTGGGCCTTCCTCTTAGGACGAGCGGCTGCTGAAGGGCATGCAGGGAGATGTGGGGGTGTCTAGGCCAGCCCCCATCTTCCTCTAGAGGTGCTCCAAAGGTCGCCAACCTTTTGGACCTCAGGGACCACCAAACTCATACTTTTAAATCCCGGGGACCACTAATATGAATTTTGACTGACGGTGGCTTGCTGACGTTGGTGGGAGAGAGAGAGAGAGAGATCTGGTCTAACCTCTCTCTCTCCCTCCCTCCCTCCCTCTCTCTCTCTTTCTCTCTCTCTCTCTCTCTCTCTCTCACACACACACACACACAGAGGCAGGGGTGGGATTCAAATTTCTTAACAACCAGTTCTGTGGGCGTGGTCTAATTTTGAGGTGTGGTTTGGTGGTCATGTGACTGGCTGGGCATGGCTTGTTTGTAAATATTATAAATATTTATATAAATATTGAATTTTTTTTATAAAAAAGAGCAACTTTTACCCAAAAGCAGGCAAAGCAGGCAGGCAGATTGAGTTGCTCACAGAATCACAGATTCATTCAGAGATCTGCATTTCTGCCATTGGCTACCTGAGCCTGTCACATAAAATTTGCTTGCAAACAAACCCATACAATTTGTTAGCAAGTAAACTCACAAAATTAACTCACAAGACACCATGTATGTAAATATTGAATTTTTTATTTAAAAAAGAGCAACTTTTACCCCAAATCAGGCAAAGCAGGCAGGCAGATTGAGTTGCTCACAGAATCATTCAGAGATCTATCTTATCTGCCATCGGCTACCTGAGTCTGTCACATAAAATTTGCTTGCAGTGAGTCTGCACTGAATAGAAGCTTCAGTCCTAAGGAAGATCTAATGATTAGCTAGAAAGCAAGCAATCCAATGGTTTCTTGCTTTCTAGCTAATCTAAATCTCCCGGCACAACAGAACAGCTGATGGTCGGAGGGGGGAAAAAAAGGAAAAATAGCAACTTAGCAGGCAAGTTTGCCAGGTAAGGAGTGAGTGGGCGGGGAGGGTTCCCATGGGCCATGTGGGTGGTGCAGCCTCGTGTTTCTGCAGAACCTGGATTAATTGCTTTGGGGGGGGGGGTGCTCTGGGGGTGAGATTTCTCTGCAGCCCACCAAAATTTTCTCGCAGCCCACCAGTTGGCAACCGCTGCTCCAGAGAGTCTGCCAACTGCTCCTCTTCCTCTCTTCCCAGGGAAAGGACAGGTCGGGGAAGAAATCCAGCCAAAGTAGCCAAGGTGGCAGCACCGCAGCTTCCTGCAGGGGAAGGTAATTTGGGTGCACAGGGAAGGCAAAGCGGAATCAATCCAGGAACTTAAAACATGAATTCTGAAACTATCTCCTGTTTGGAAAACACACTTACAAATTATTTCTCATTAGTTAGAAATAGCTGTTCAAATATTTAAGTAGCCCCCTGTTCTGACCCAGCTCCCCAAACACGACAAAACCCTCTGATGTGAACTCAAAAGATTCCTTTATTAGGAACACCAACAGCCCCCGGCAAAAAAGTTTCTCTTGCAGGCTAACAAGTCCGGCCGGCCAGAAGACGGATAGTTGTTTGCCACATCTATTCATTTCCACCAGATGAATATTATCCCCCAGAGCTAGGGTGGGGCTTCACTAGCTGCATTGGCTCTTCCATTCCAAGGACCAGCCCATAGATTTCCACTGCTCTCCTCTCCTCTCTGTGCATCCATGCATCAGGCACTGGACACGGCTGTTCCTCCTCTTCTTCATCAGCCACCTCCAGACCTGGGGGCTGTTGACTCTCCATCTGAGGGCTGACGGATGGCCTAGGCTCTGCCTTTCTCTCTCTCTCTCTCTCTGCCAGTTCCACTTCCCCCTCGGAGCTCTCAGGTTGCCCTGATGCTGACCCTGACTCCCACACCACCTCCTCCTCCTCCTCTGATTCAGCTGCTGGAGGAGCTGGAGGCCAACAGGCCACAAGACCCCCCCCCTTTTAAGAAGCTTGTTGCTTATTCCCTTACAAAATGGCCCAGAATTGGGCTTACCTCTGATGGAAAACAGGTCAGGGATGGCATTTCCATGCCAGGGGCAGTCAGGAGTGGCCTTGGAGCCAAAAGGCCACTCCAGCTCAACTCTGCCAGGAAGCCAAATTTTTTTTGGAGGTGGGGCAGGGTGGTTGCTAACCCTAACCTGCCTTTTGGCTGCAGCGGTCCAGCGGGAGCTTTCAGGGAATGCCCGAAGAGAGTGGGGGGGGGCATCCGAAACCCCCCCCAAGCCCCCCTGTAGGCCCTTTCTGGGCGCTCCTCGCTCTTTCTGTGCTTTGGCAGGTGTTGCCGTGGGGAGCCTCGCGGAGGGGAAAGCCAAGGGATGCCTGACTGCCTGTGGGCCCACTTGGCTTTCTGGTCCCAGCATCCCCCCGCCGAAGATCCCTGCCCGGCGGGTGTCAGAAGAGCAGCGAGAAGGGCTATCCACCGCCACCTCCTCTTCCTCACAAGCCCACAGGTAAGAGTTGTCTTACCTGAAATCGCCTCAAGGTAACCACGGGGGAGGGGTTGGGCGCTGGTGTTGC